TTTATCAAGATTATTAAATACGTATTTATATATATTATATGTAACTAGGACAGGCAGTGCCGACTATCCAATTTGTCGATGGTCGACGTATGCCCATGATTGGTCTGGGTACATTTACAATCACCGATGAGACAACTATCAAGCAAGTTATTGATGACGGCATAGCCATTGGGTACCGACACGTCGACACCGCCTACTTCTATAAGAACGAGAAGTTTATCGGCGAAAAACTGCGCGAAATATTCGCCCGCAATGGACAGGGAGGGGTCGGTAGGCGTGACGTGTTTGTCACGAGTAAGCTCTGGTGTACATACCATTCCCGTAAAAAAGTGGCCGAAGGCTTGGACTTGACTCTCAAGCGCCTGGATATACAGTATTTGGACTTATATTTAATACATTTCCCGTTTGGTTTCGAGGAGGGAGGGGATGACATACCCCTTACGCCGGAGGGTATAACACGTGACTCTAATATATCTGTTGTGGAGACGTGGAAAGGCATGGAAGATGTCTATAGGAAAGGTCTGGTGAAAAGTATCGGGGTGTCCAATTTTAACGTGGATCAATTGTGCAGGCTAATTCGAAAGTGCCAGATTAAACCGGTGTGCAATCAGGTAAACAAATGATTATGTTATTGTATTCATTAAACTTTATTAAAGACTACTGGGTGCAATTTTGTAATTAATTAATATTAATCTACATAAATATTTTATTGCAGATTAATGTAACCATTTAAACTGTAACGTTTATTTTTTAGTACTAATTAATAATAGGTTTTAGAATTATATTTAAAAATGGAATTATAAATATAACGATTTATTATAGAAATTAACAAATATTTTTCAAACTGTATATTAATCACAGAGTAATATATACATATCAATTGATAAGTGTAACATTTAGTAACGGGTCTACATGTTAATCGACTTGAAATAGTTTTACATTTTAAAGTTAAGTACAGGTATTTATTTAGTTATAGTAAAATTATACTACAGTGCTAGGCGAAATAATTTTGACATTAATTACAGCATTGCATAAATGTTTTATTGTAGATTAGAATAAATATTAGACCTGTAATTAGGGCTGCCAAACGTCCTCCTTTGGGAGGATTGTCCTCCAATCGGCCCCTCAAAAAACAGTCCTCCCGAGTGTCTCAGGAGGACAATGTAATGTCCTCCCATAGATAATTGTTAAAATATTTCAATATACATTTAATTTTCAAATACCTTTCGAAATTCATGAAAATAATCTGCAATTTTGTAATCATTCCTTAAACAATTTATGATATAATTGTTAGGATTACAACAAGTAGTGTATTGTATTTGAATTGTAATTAAACGAAATGTATTTAAAATGAAATTAAAGCTTAAATGAAAGTGTAGCTATTAAGAGTAAAAATATATAGCAATGTTAATAATTAAACATTTTTTGTCCTCCCAATGTCCTCCTGAACAGGTTTAATTTTGGCTATTTGCCCTCCCATGCCAAAAAAATAGTTGGCAGCCCTACCTGTAATGGTAGTTTTTTATTATTAAATAATAATATGAATTAACATGGTATTTATAAATGGACACTAAAAGCAAAAAACATTATTTTTTTATGAATTGGTGGCTTTTATGCTGAAGCAGGACATTTATTTTGCACTGAAAACTGTACACATAATCTAATCAATGCTTTCAATAATACAACATAATGTTTCTTACTTATGAAAAGTATTGATTAGGTTATGTGTACAGTTTGCTGTGAAAAAATGTCCTTCTTTTGCATATTGTGCACTAATTAACAAAATATTTTCAAACTGTATATAAATCATTGAAAATTAAATTTTATACTAACGATAGGTATAAAATTAAAAAGTGGTTTTGAGACATGCCTATATAATATCTTTACATTTTAAAATATTTAAAAAATATAATATAAAATAAACAAAAATTGTATTTACAATCCCAGATAGAGGTGAACCCATACCTGGCTGAAGTAGAGTTAGTCCGGTTTTGTCAGCGCATAGGCATCCAAGTGGTCGCCTACAGCCCACTCGCAAAAGCCAATCAAACTCTGCTCAATGAGCCGGTGCTCAAAGACATTGCCAATAAATATAACAAAACAGTGGCCCAGGTCATTATGAGATGGATACTGCAAAGGAATATAGTGGTTGTGCCTGGTACTACCAAAAAGTCGCGATTGGAGGAGAATTTTGCGTTACTAGACTTTAAACTGACCAGGGATGAAATGAAACAGATTTATGGTTTGGATCGCAATTGGCGTAAAACGGATTTCCCACCAGCCAGGTTCAACAGTGAATATCCGTATAATAAAATGGGATTTTAAATTTATAATTTCACCTACATACAAATAAGGTTTTAAACACTTCACTATCATTGATTAACCTTGATTATAAATGATACGCATGATGAAAATATTGATTTATAAAAATGATCCATTTAACTAAATCTTAATCCATACTGATCAAGATATTGATTTTGTTTAGTTGTGTTTAGTAAAATAGTACTGGTAAATTGAGTTTTATGTTGATTTTATTACATGTATATTATAAATTATAAATAAATGAAATTATAATCCCATATTTGCATGATTGTTACCGGGATGTCATCCAGTTATGCAATAAAATACGTATCAAAACCTGTATTGATGAGGACATGGATGAATTATGAGATGAGCAAGAGTATGAATATGGCAAATGTTGCGGATTATTTACTGGCCAGGGGTTACGACTGATATATTCAAGGTATTTCATATTAATTTTATTTTAAAATAAATGATTTTATTGAATATCAGATGAATGTCTCTCTCTCTCTCTCTCTCTCTCTCTCTCTCTAGTATTCAAAAAAGTTATACAAAATGTTTAAATCCTTTAACATTATTATTATATTTATTATGCATGTATAGCAATCAAAATGAGTTAAACATAAATAAAACAACATTTTATTGTAACAATGATTTTTATAGCATTTTAATAGTTTTTTTATTATTTTTGAAAGCAATTTAATACAGGAAGCGCCAGGATGCTTATGGTGTATGTGTGCATGTTTAAATTATACGTTATGCAAACTAGTCGTGCACTTATGTATTGTATAACTGTTTAATAGGCACTCATAGGCATTGTGTTGTGCACTACACTAATGATGATGTATTAAATAGTATTATATATAAGATTTATAATAATATTATTTTAGTTATATTTTAGGATTGTAATAATAATATTTTTCTTAATTAATTTTTATATATAGTACTAGTAATAGAAATAAAGTATAATTTGATATTCATTATTAATATAAAATTTTATAATTAAAACATAGAAATATTACTATTTTAATAAAGTTATAAAATTGTTTTGCGAATGTTTTAAAAAATATATTTATTACTTAATTTAAATTATTTTACAAAATTTAATTTTGTAAACACAATTTTATAATAAATATTATTATAACATAAAAATGGTGAATCTATATGTTCATTTTAATTAGCAATCACAAAAATATTAAATATTTAAGTGAATTTTATAAAATATACAGTTTGTATGAATAACATAAAAATACTGATGTAAACATAAAAGTATATAATTATTCAGTGAATGTATTGATACAAAATAAATAACATAATTATACGCTTATGCATAATGATTGCATACAATTATTTGATAACACAAAATGTGTTTATATTTTATTCACGCATGGTACAATAGTAATTCACGATTTTGATTTGTGTGTAACACTGTTATAGTGAACTCAATTTTATGCAAAACTTTTGTAAACTTTTTTATTAGTTATTTATTTTGCAAATATCTGCTCGACATTAATGGTATTATGAATTGAAAGTGTATTTGATTTAATAGTAAATAAAATTTTTATTTTTATTTATTTCTTGTGTAAATCCAGGAAATGCTTAATACGAGAGAGAGAGAGAGAGAGAGAGAG